TTGGTGTTTACTGATCAGCTAACACCAATGAAAGAATGTGATATGGTATACAAACATCACATGGAGGTGGAAAGGGTTGAAGGAGTATCCTCGGCCAAGCTATCCCTGCCATTCCAACCCAAGAGCATGGAGATACAGGCTAAAAAAGGAGCAACCCAGCTCAGAAGGGAGAGGCTGGGAAGGAGAGCAGACCTATCTGGAAGGCTCCTGCCAAAAGGAGCTGAAGAAGACTCCTAGAGGAACAAGACTGTACGTGGAGCCCAACCTGGGCTAAAAGGTTTTGGTTTCCTTCATTTTAATTCTTATCTGAGACCAGATAAGTGACCCATGAAAGGTAAATCAGCCCCCCTGCCCCAGGCAAAATGCTGCTAATCTTCCTAAGGGCCAAGGTCAGAGCCCAGTGAAGTGGGCAGGCCCGGGTTTTCCTGCCACTGTCCCTGCAATGAGCAGGTGCTAACTACTAGGCTCCCGGGCCCCCCAGGGAACCCCATTACAATGAATTGCCCTACTCAATCTGCCTAAAGATGAAGAATGTAATAGGAAACAAGGAACTAAATATACTGAAATAACTGAACAGTTCTCAAGTAAAATGTGAACATGGTCAAATGTTGTTGATTTAAGATATAAAGAATCCAAGCTCATTGCAAAAATCTGCAGCAACCTGGGTTTCTTTAAATTCTTAAATATGCCACTGCATTGAATAAAACTGGTATTGAAGAGGGAAGAGCAGAATGTTGATAAGTTTGTGAATCTGCAAATGAGACATCTGTAATGCTATTATCATTATAATCATCAAAAAGTAGCTATCAGGATCATTTTAGGTTTCATCTACACAACCAAGTTTTGTTGCCAAAAGCTGCCTTTCGGTGACAAAAATGCAATAGCATTCACATTGCAATGTGACAAAAGTCGTGGTTTCAGCGACAAAAAACTTCCATCACCATAAGGGACTTTTTTCTTTCCCCCTCCCTTTAACTGTCGACAATAATGCAGTGTGGACAAAAGAAGGCTTTTTTCACCTTTACAGCCCTCCAGGATGTATCCTATAATGCCCCAAGCAGCTGCTACAGTCAGCACTTTGAACTCTCCTGCCCTGCAGCCAGATATACAGCAATCTGCCCCTCTCTCTTGCAAGCCCTGGAAACTTGAATTTCCATTTCCTGCTGGCTGGCCCAGCATAGAGAGCTCTTATGGCTTCTTCCCAGCTGATCATGGCTGGCTATCACACCAAATATACTCCAGCTTGGACGACCATGGAACTTTTGGATCTTATCACGCTGGAACGCGCCTCACGCAGCTGCTGCTTGACTCCAGCTGGAACTGGAGGAGAAGAAGGCAGTGCCACCAGACCAGGACCCCACGCAGCAAAGGCGGGCCCGTGGGGGGAGGGAGAGAGGGAAGGGCCGCACACCACCGGAACCTGGCCCGGCTGTCCTATGCGCTCTGCTGCAGAGGAGGGGGAGGAGGCTGCTGTGCAACGCCAGTGTTCCCATCGAGCAGTGAAATGTCTGGCGGGACTTTCAGGACATTTCACTACTTGATGGGGCACCAGGAGAGAGTATTTAAATTCAGGACAGTCCCGGAAAAATTGGGATGTATGGGCAGCGTAGGCATGCGACATGCACCTTTCCAGACCACCCTGCACTGATGTCTGTGAAATACCCATGGTGATCCACAAGCACCTGCAGCACCATTGAGAAGTACCCCTTCTTATTGATGTCTTCTGTGGCAAGATGGGTGGTGCTAAAATTGGAATGTGTGTGCCATCTATTGACCCCTCGCAGTTAGGAAAGCCTCCATCTGCACAGCCAGCCACCACATCATGAACATGTCCCAGAGACACGGTCCTCTGTAGCAGAATGTGATGTATTTCCTTGCACACTTGCAATGGTACAGCGCCAATGGAAGACTTCTCCATTACAAATTGGTTTGCAACAGACCGGTAACAGGGGTTACTAGCTTCCAGGAACGCTTCTCTACTGAGAAGGCAGCTCTCACTCTGGTATCGTTGCATTGCAGGCCAGGAGTCAGCTCAGCACCCAGCTCCAGGAAGGTTGCTTTGCACCTCCTAAAGTTCTGTAGCCACTGGTTTTCAACCCACACCTGCAGGGCAATGCGGTCCCACCACTCAGTGCTGGGTTTCCTCACCCCAAACTGACAGTACCTTCTGCAGCTATTCTGTGAGTCACAAATGCAAAGACAAGTTGCTGCTGTCCACCTCACAGTGTCAGCCACTGTGACTATTTCCTCTGCCAGTAACTTCAAGAGTAATTCTGCTGCAACGTGTGATGTCCTCACAACACTGAACACAACACAGGAGAGAAGTGTGGGATCCATGCTTTCACAATGCACATGCTGGAGTGCAATGTCAGTTGGAAACCCCTAGAGGGCTGGGAAACAAAGCAGTGCCTGATGGGACGTTTTGCATGTTCTCAAGATGCACTGTGCTCTGTTCTACACTCCCACGGTGCCTAGCAACAGATGGAATCCCCACAGTGCATTGCTCCCACTGTCGATGGCACTGCACTGGAACATGTTCTAGAGAGAGATCCTGCTCTGCAGCCCAGTGGGAAAACATCTTCCACCTTGCTTGGTAGATCGGCCTTGTGGAAGGTTTCCTACTTGCTAGCAGGACCTGCTGGAGCTCCTCCAAACAAGTACGTTCCACCTCACTCAACCACGGAGCATCAATGACACAAGGTGCAGGGATGCAAGGTCGGGATTTCTGAAAGGATCATGACCATCTTGTCCAGGTTGTCCCTAGATTGGGAGTAAGCTGACGCCAGCCACTACTGGAAAGGCCACATGCAGAGCCCGTCATGGCAGATATGAACACTACCAAATGCTCCAAGAGGAAGACAGACAGACCCTGGCCATAGTCAGAGGATACAGGAGGCCCCCACTTTACGATGGCCCGATTTATGACCCCCGCACTTACAACCTTTTCCGTAAGTGTGGAAGGGGCCAAAATCCCCCAACTTACGTCCTTGGCCCCACATTTACAATGGGATACAACGCCTGTCTAAATGCGAACTCGAGTTACGACGCCCCCGACTTGCGATGCTATCCCAGGAACCAATTACGTCGCAAGTTGGGGGCAGCCTGTATATGGTCTGGGATCTATCTAGAGGCAGAAAAGTCTTGGTGCAGGTTGTGTTGCGCACCACTTTGATGAACTCTACCCTTCAAACTGGTACTAATGTTGACTTCTTGTCACTGACCAGGAAATTCAGCAATCGGCAGGTATCTAGAAAAGCATCAGACTGCGACAGACCTGTGCCCTGGATCTGCCCTTGACCAGCCAGTCATCAAGATAAGGGAAGACCTGGATGCCCCAATGCCTGAGATAGGCTGCTACTACCACCATACATTTGGTGAACACCCTCAGGGCTGCAGCCAACCCAAACGGGAGGACTGTAAACTGGTAGTGGGCAGAGCCCACCATGAAACAAAGGAACCTCCTGCGACCTGGAAAGATCGCTAAATGGAAGTAGATATCCTAAAGGTAGAAGGAGGCATACCAGTCTCCCGGATCCAGAGAGGAAATGATGGAGGGAAGAGAGACCATACAGAACTTGAGTTTCCACAGATAATTACTGAGGTTTCTCAAGTCCAGAATAGGGATGTAGAAAAACGGTTAATAATGTAACCATTAAAAATCGTTACACAGTTACATGCTGCGGGCTCTGCAGTATAAAGCTTAAAATGCAAAGTCCGCAGCGCAGCTGGCTCCCCAGAGGTGTGTGCTGGCAGCCAACTTATGCCAACCCCGCTTCCATGGAGCTGACTGCCACCTATGCTGCGGGCTCTATGTCTGACACATAGCCCGCAGCATGGGCAGCAGCCAGCTTTCTAGGATCAGGACAGCAGCCGGAGCTGGTGCGCACCAGGAGCTGGCTTATAAGAACCGGAATCATAGAGCCCTAGGGCCTTTAAGGTAGTGCGAGAGTCTTTACACCTAGGTAATTTCATGCCCATCTGCTCTGCAAACAGGTAGTGCCCATCAAACAAGAGGTCCTGCTCCCCAGATAGCCTGGAGAAGAGAAGCCAGGATGCCCAAGGCATAGATATGGTCAATGCCATTCTGTGCACCGCAGCATCCCTTGTGTCTGCAGCTGCCTGGAGGCCCACCATGGCCTCCACTGCCTCTTCCTTGAGGAGTGCTCTGTACTCCTTCCTTGAGGATTCAGGAAGCAAGCCC